TGGGGTTGGGGCTGGGGCTGGCAGGAGGGCAGCTAAGTGGGGAGAAATGGGGGACATCAGTAGTACTGTCAACAATAAAAAAAAAAATCAATTTTGTTCCTCCTTAAATTACTGTATCATTTCTGGCCTTCATAATTCCACTTTTTTTGTTTTTTGAAAGAATTCTCTTCCCTTGGTCTTAATTATCTCTCTGCTCACATGGTCCTTAACCCACTGCAAATGGCATAATTATTCTCCTGAATCTAGTTTCCCGAAATCATACTGTATGAATATTAAGTAATAATAGCTGACATTTAAAGAACACTTTCAGACATTCTTTCAAATGCCTTACTTGCATTAATTCATTTACGCATCACAATAAATCTTTCCTTCTCCACTCGCCCCATCTCCTCTCCTCTCCAAAGGAACAAAGATTAAGTACCTTGTGGCACATCTAGGATTTGATCCCAGCAGTCTAACTCCATGATTTTCAATGTGAGGACACACTAATTTTTAGTCAGTGATCATCTTTATAAAACTGTGTGTGGTGCTTCCTTATTTACTTACTTGGCCTTCACACACCATACCTTTCAGGTTGTTCTTTAGCAGCCAGTGTTCCCCATATTCTTCTTGTGGGCCTCTTCTCTCTGACCCCCGGAAATCCACTTCTATGCCTTGAGCCATAACCTCTGAAATCCACTTCTCAAACATGGCCCTCACTTGGCAGTAACAAACTCTCAAAAGCAAACCCTAACATTTGGATCCTAAAACTCAATAAAAATCAACAATTTCCTTCAAACCCATCCTGTTCTCTCTATTGACCTTCTCTTCCACCGTTGTTCAGGTTTATTCCTGACCCTCTTGCTCCTTCACGGCCGCCTGGTGCCCAGTTGTGCCCTAACTCCCATGCTGCCTGCACCCACGGCTTCATTCTCATGCCCATTCACCTTATCACCACACTTCATTTTCCAGATGGATTGTCAAAATCGGCTCCTGGCCATGTTCCCCAGTCCACCTCTAACCTGACTGCCCAAACGGATCTGCATGCTGTCTGGACTGATTCATCATCGAAAGCCTGTAATAGTTCCCATTCATTGCTAAATTACAAAAACTTCTTAACCTACCCTTCAAGACTATCTATGAGCTACACTTAAATAGCGATTTTTGAGCTTCTTCTTTCATGTTACATCTTTTTATGCTCCAGCTCAAGATTACCTGCTGTTTCTCAAACATACTCTTTTCTGGCTTCTGTTTTTGTTCACGCATCCTTCGCATAAACAAAACCTTACTCAACCTCAAATGTCCATGTCAAAAGTCGTCCATCTCAGCTCACCTTACTGATTCTCTCATGAACAGATGTGCTTCTCGCCCCCTTCCTCCGCTTTTCTTTTGTACTTACCACACCTAACTTACTACAGCTCTTTATACAGTGGCCTTTTCTGTCACATCCTCCAGAGGATCTGTGGACCTCTAGTCTGCAAGCACTGTATTTCAGTCATTTCTGCACCCTCCTCTTTTTCCCCTCACCAAAGGCAATCACACTGCCTTGGCTCCATACATGTTTCTGAATTAAATCAGTGAAAAGAAAGAAAAACCCTTTCCTCACCCTCAGAGCATGATGTTTTTATCCTACACTGCTTCTCCCATTCAAGCAGCCCACCCCGCTCTCAGCTCTCCCAGACTGCACTCACCCTGTGCAGACATACTGTGTGATAAGCATTACTCAGTGGTAGGTGCAGACAGCATTTCCCCCCAATGACTCACTGTTAGGGAAGGGATTTATCACAGTTTCTGGGGAACTCTGAAACAGATCCTCCCACCCAATCAGCTCTGACTAGTGCTGTCACAAGGTGAACATTCCCAACAGTGACATGTCTCTCCTGGTAAAATAGGAACATGGACTAAAGAGAACTGCTTTAAAATGAGTCCTCCCATAGATAGGGAAGAGCCTACAGACACTGGAGAGGCAGAAACACAGGTATGAATCACTCCCCACTTTACACACAGGACACAGTCACATGGAGTCCTGATATTAAGACTTGCAGGTTGAATGCTGGAAACTTCCTCTTATTAAGAAAAATTTACAACAGAAGTAGAAGTAGACAAAACAATACAATGAGCTTCCCTGTACTTCTCACTGAGATTCAAAAATTATCAACTCATAGCCAATCATATCCATTTACACTCCCACTATTAGTATTTTTTATTGTTGACACTGTTACAGAGGTCCCCATTGCCCTCCCTCCGCCCCTCAAACACTATTATTTTTAGCTAACAACTTCATTGAGATATAATTCACATACAGTGCAATTCAACCATTTAAACTATACTGTTCAATGGTTTTTAGTGTATTTAAGGTTAGCACCTATCACCACAATTTCAAAACATCCTCATCACTCAAAAAAGAAACCCTGTACCCATTAAGTTACCCCCCATTTACTCCCACCTAGGTAACCACAAATCCACTTTCTGTCTCTATAGATGTGGCTATTCTGGACATTTCATATAAATGGAATCATTCAATATGTGGTCTTTTATGACTGGCTTCTTCCAGGTAGCATGTTTTCATGGTCCATTCGTGTTGTAGCAATATCAGTACTTCATTCCTTTTTATTGCCAAGTAATATTCCATTGTATAAATGGGCCACTTTTATCCATTCATCAGTAGGTGAACATGTAAGTTCTTTCCACTTTTTGACTATTATGAATAATTCTGCCATAAGTATTAGTGTATAAGTTTTTGTGTTGACAGGTGTCTTGACTTTTCTTGGGTACGTACTAAGGAGTGGAACTGGTGGCTCTAATGGCAACATCATGTTTAAGCTTTACAGAAACTATAGACTCATTCCACAGTGACTATATGTTTCTATCAGCAACACATGCACATTCCAGTTTCTCCACATACTCCCCCGCCCGCACCTGTATTGCTCACCTTCTTGACTGCAGCCATCCTCGGAACGTGAAGCGGTACCTCACTGTGGGTCTGAATGCACTGCTTTGAGGCAGAGCAGTTTCTAATGGGCGCCCTGACCATTTGCTATCTTCTTTGGAGAAATGTCTATTCAGATCCTTCACCCGTTTTTCAACTGGTTATTATTATTATCATTGAACTGTATGAATTCTTTATTCTAGACAGGAGTTCTTTAATGGGATATATGATTTGCAGAACTTTTCTCCCATTCTGTATGTTGTTTTTTCACTTTCTTGATGGCATCCTTTGGCACAGAAAAAATTAAAATTTTGATGATATCCAATTTATCTATTTTTTCTTTTGTTTCTTGTGCTTTTAGTGTCACATCTAAGAAACTGTTGCCTAATCCAAGGTCATAAACAATGACATCTATATTTTCTTTTAAAATTTAACAGTTTTAGCTCTTACACTTAAGTCTTTGTTCCAGTTTAATTTTTGCATATGGTATGATGTGGATATCAAGTTGTCTTAGCACCATTTGTTCAAAGCAGATCAAGATACAAAAAATTTCCAACACACCAGAAGGTTCTTCCATGACCCTCCCTAGTATATACTTCCACTGCCCCTACAAACATCCATTCACTCACTTATTCCACCAATCAGACATCTCCCCCCTCCCGGGATCAGCCTTTTCTCCAAGGATCCCTGGTCCCTTTTATTCGAGAATGGTGTTAGAAGCCAAGACCTGAGTGCTAGGTGCTTGTTGCTGATAGAGTGTCACTGCTTCTAGGCCCCTCAGCTGACAGAGCCTTGGAGGCAGATGTGTGTACTCTGGCCCATGTATACACACACATCTGTAAACACTTTGGGATGTAGCCAGCTGTATGTATATGAAGCAGAACATGAGTTCATACTGATGTCTCCAGCTCTGACCCATCCCCATGTGGATCATCTCCACCCCTGCTTATATGGAACGTCCCTCCAGCAGTGAGATACCTGGATCGGCCACATGGCTATGTAGTGTTCTGCCCCAGCACAGAGCACAGAAGAGTCGGCACTGCTGATCTGAACCCCAGTGCTCCTCCATTTCATCCTGCCACCTTGCTTTGTTCCTCTCCACTGTACTTCAGGCCACCTGAAATGCTTACTTTCTGTTTTCTCTTCCATGACAACAGGAACTTTTACTGGTGGGTCCCCAGCCCCTAAAACTGCCTTGAACAAAGTAAGTGCTGAATAAATAAACTTTATTCAGTAACTTGAACAAAGTGCTCAATAAATATTACTGAATAATTGAATTATTAAATAAATGAAAAATCTTTATGCTTATTACAATTAAGCAGGTCTCAGTCAGGCCTTTCCTATCCAGCGATACATTATTTAGCCTTGAGATACTGTATCTACTTCAACCAAATTATAATTGTACTGCACTGGCTGGTTGGAGCATTGTCCTGTGCACCAAAAAGGCTGTCAGTTCGATTCCCAGTCAGTCAGGGCACATACCTAGTTTGCCAGTTCAATCCCCAGTTGGAACTCATACAGGTGGCAACCAATCAATGTTTCACTCTCACATCAATGTCTCTCTCTCTCAAAATAAAAAAATGAAACAAAAATATTTTTAAAAAACAATAAAAACATATCCTCAGGTGAGGATTTTAAAAAACTATAATTGTAGAATATAACTTAGACTTTTCACCAATTCAACTGACTTCCCTCAACTGCTTCAACTATAACCACCTAACTGAAACAGCGAACTATCGCAAATCACAGCCTCTGCTTTCCTTAAGGCCTGACTTGAACCACCCTCCCCACCTCTTTTCCCCCTCCCCCAAACCTAAACCTCCTGGACACTGCCAATCTCATTTAAATTTCCTAGACACTTTTGATTCCAGCTACCTATGATAAATATTCTTTTCACACTTGTTAAGAACATGAACAACATAATCATCATCATGAATTCAAATCACAGAGCTAAGTGAAGAATTATATAAAAATTAAGCTACTGATTTTAAATTCACCTTCCAAAAGAACTGAAGGCATGTAAAATAATTTTTGGAAAATGTACACACATTTGCTCTCTGCTCCTCAGTGTAGAAGCCTGAGGTTTAAGAACAAAGACTAATAGGAAACATATGGAAAAGATCAGTAACAAGATGAAATCTTGGCCCAAATACAGTCTGCCATGTTTTACATAGCAGTGTCTCAAATAATAAATGAGATTTTTTCAATACTGCCAAAGTATCACTTGAAATACTGTACACTTTTTAAAAATCTGAAGTATAACAAAATAAGTAGTGCAAATTCTTTGTAAAAACCTAATGGAAAACAGTATTTTGAAGGGAAAGAAAAAGCAAAACGGATTCCAGGATTAACTCTACCTTTAGTTTGTATACGCCTGAAAGAGTAGCCCAAAGAATGAACTCAAAGTTCACTGCCAAGAGATACAAGTTAACTCTCTCTTTAAAATATGAAAACGTTAGTATAAAAATAGAGCATTTAGGCAGTCAATTGCTACTCTTCAGGAGAGAAGTTCAGTAAATCAGAATATGTTCTACATCTGCAAAATAAAGGCAATAGTAACTGGTCGGAAGAAGTTCCTAATTCCATCTTATCCAATACTATGAAAGTATTTTTTGTACTAATAAAAACAGGCAAATCAGAGCTATACCTTCTAAAGGCAAAACACTGAATTCTATACACCAAGAGATTAATTTTTATTTTGAAAGTTATTATTATATTTGGGAGGAAGGTGATAGCTGATAGAAAAGATATAATTCTTTGTATGAGAAAGTTAATAAATCTAATTGTGTCACCAGTGACAATTTCATTTAAAAAATTAATTAGATGTGAAATACTGTGTTCCTAACCCTAGTTCATGTCTTGATGAAAGGAAACACTGGCATGAACACAGGGAATCAGACAAGCAAGGTCTCCAGATGATTCCTAGTTCCACCTTAAATTGCTGAGACACTGTGCTCTGTGTCACAATGGACCTTAATTTGAAGAATTCCTTGGCATGAAAATGAAAATAAAAACAGTAATCAGTACATGCTGTTTCATTTAGCTCTGTCTGCCTTTCATATTAGAGGAAATTCTTGCCACACCTCAAACTGAACTTAAGGGGAAAGAAAGAAGTAAGCCACGTATATCTGACCAAGAACACAAGCATCTTATTCTGAACCCACAAAGTTTGGGATAATGAGAGGAAGCACATCATTTTAATTCAGCCCAAGTGTTCCCAGGCCGAGTATATATTTCCTAAAACTGCTGCAGTGATGCAAAGGACAGCCCCATTTGAGCACAGTTACTCTGGATTTTTAAGAGACTGAGTTAGAGAAAAGTTAGAAATTTCTGATTCACTTACAGGATTCGCAAATTCATCACCCCTGAAAACTAAAGCAAACTCAACAGGTATGATGACAAAATAATTTTCAATTTTTAAAGAAAGTATTCCTACTGTTAAAAATAAAAAAGTATGTTTGATTTGTTTAACATTAAAATAGATTACAGCCATCATAAAAGCACAATTTTTGGAAGCAGTATCTGGTAAAAGCTACATTAAAACGTTGATTAGCCAAATTATTCAGGGAAAGAAGTATTATAGTAAATTTAATTTTCTAACTTAAGATCTACCCAATAAATAATCTTTGTTTATATATTTTTTGTTTTGAAAGAAAGATTCTTAGGTTAATGGAATAATCTTCTGTCTCTTTCTGTCTCTCAACTTTAAATGACAAAAACCTGACAATGCCTTTGAGCCATACATCTGAGCAGTGCTAGATTTTCCAATGGTAAGGAAGATGGGTATTCGTACAAATTTCACTGGAAATGTTCGCAAAATTTCTCCACTGACCAAATCCCTGGTATAAAAATGTGGTGTATTTTTTTCATTTGCCTCTTTCTCAAAGGGAAGATATGAGTGTTCTATCTAGTACTGAAGGATCTAGTTTCTTGAATTTTGGTTAGTCAGTATTTAAATATATTATGGCTAAAAATAATTTTGAAGCTTTCATATTTTTAATAGCAAAAGTCTTACTTCCTAGGCCTTGGGTGTAATAGTAATGGCATGCTAATTCTACAAGTTTAAATTTAAAACTGCTTTAAAAAAATTCTGAACCATATACTACTACTTGGTTTCTTATATTCTAGTTTCTGTGGCATACCAAGAAAACAATTAAGTCTATTTTAAAAGAGTAAAATCCTGTGCGGATTTCCAATAACTAAATTTTCAAGAACAAAGTTCTATCTCAGTTTAATCAGAACTTTACTGATGAAAGCCCGAGTGCTTTTTCCAAGTTAGAGAAATGTTATGACATAGAACCTTTGGTCATAGAATGTTATGACCAAAAAATGAAAGATTCACATTAATGGATAATTTTTAAAACTGGTAACTTGTATTTTACTTTCTTTTACATTTGTTATTTTTCTGCCATACAATGTAAAAGGAAAAAATACAGTATACTGTGATGGAGACACATTCAATAGACAAGAGAAAAGCCACATTCTCTGTGACTATTCATTTAAAGTGAATCACTGTGATGAAATAAATGCCTAGAAATAACCAACATTAGTAGTGGTAAGCATTGTTAATGAGATGGAATCTATCAATTTATTAATCCAATCATTCATTCAAAAAAAATTTCAGGAATCATGTAACGTGAACTGTACTAGATTCTGTAAAAAATTAGTGGTCAGGAAATGAGATGATAGACAGTGAGTTATAATGTTTTGCTATAAATTATCCTATAGGAAACAAGGCATAAATTGTAGAACATAAAAGGTCAAAAGTAATAAGGATATGCTTAGTAAATGAGTGGGAAGAGATGAGCTGAATGAAAATTTGAATGAAAAGAAGTGAGGGATCATCGTAATGGAAACTGTTACAGGCGAGGCTGAAGGGCCAGAGGAGCAGAGCCCAGCGGGTGTGCCCGGGGACGGGAGGGCTGCGCACCAGAAGGCTACGCGAACAGTCACGAGGCCAGCACAGGGCCACGGCCTGCAAGGGACAAGGACAATGACAGGCTTGACTCAGAAGAGAAACGCTTCACTTAGGTGCCCAAGGAGACCAAAAGCACACAGCACTAAGAACCCTTTATTTCCAGAGGCCCTGTCAGCATAAGGTCTTGATTCCAGGTCGAAGGTATGCAATTAGGATCAAAAGCATCATCTAGGTCTTCTTTTTCCCAACTTATCATAATAACTGAACAACAAAACTGTGACTTCAATGCTCAAATGTAAGGTTACTAATTGATGATTGCTTATGTTCTTCTTTTTCTCCACTTTACTGAATTTACTGGGGTGACACTGGTTAGCAAAATTACACAGACAGGTTTCCGGTGCACAGCTCCACAGCACGTCATCTGCTCCCTCTCCTGCAAGTCAAGTCTCTGTCCGTCACCATTTACGCCCTATACCCTCTCTCCCTATCCCCTTCCTCCCTCGCCGCAGTCACCACACTGTTGTCCGTGTCCATGAGCTTTTTCTTTTTTTTTGCTTTTTTGTTCTATGTCTCCACCCACTTAACACAAAATTTAGAGTTCTGATGAGCAACACTCTTTTCAAAGTTCAGCTGTGTAACAGTAAGCTTCTGAGACCCCACACAGCTGCTTATCTCTGCCTCTGCTTCTACTTTCATCTTTCTGGGACACAGCAGCCTTACAGAACCCCAATTCCATGGTCCAGTGAGACTGTCAGGAAGTATGATAAATACTTAAAAAAGTTAATATGCTATACTATAATGTGTATAATAAAATATTATGAATTTAATACGTAAGTTATCAACTAGTGGATAAAATGTTTAGGCTGTTCTATATCCATTCCTGTTAACATCCAAATGCCTGGGCCAAATAATGACTATATACATGAAGACTTCCCTGTCTCCACCAAGAGGGTTAAGCCGCCACCTCCCACAGCGCTGGTGCCTCTGCTGTAAACTGTACTTCCCTCGCCTAAGAACATGGTTCGCTGTGTTGTCTCTCATCCACTCAACTGCATGCTCTTTACAGAAGGGACCACATCTTCACACCTTCTTCAGGTCTGTGCTCCCCACCAAGGACACTAACCCTGCACATAATTCAAGACATTCATTAACTGAAGTAACCCAACGAAACTAGTAAGCACTAACAGTTGAGAGGCGCTCTCCTAAGCACGTTCACACACAATATCCGGTATAAGTCACTAACTACAGCAGGTGAGACAGGACTCCCAATCAGATCCAATGGGAGTCCCTCCGCCCCCCGGTCTAAGTCAGCTGACACTGAACACCCCCCTCTGGAATAAGACCACACCACAGCACTTCTCTGTCCTACTTCATGCATGAACACTGCTGTGTGAAGATCATGGCTCAACTATATTAATGAATTAAATTAGGTGTTCAGTCCCAGAGCATAAATTCCTTAGGTCAGAATTCAGGCCCTACAGATTTTGGTCCAGATTGGATGTAACAGTTTTATTTTGCTCCTTCAAAGTTAACCACCAGTTTCCCAACACCCCACCCTTTGTTGCTTATATATTTTTGCTCATCTCTTATATCTGGAAATCTTCCCTATCTCCATCTATGAGCAACCTAATATTCTTTCACAGTCTTGTTTAAACGTCACATCCTCCATGAATCCCACAGATAAGAAGGAACAACAGGTGGAATCTATTTAGATTTTCGAAAAGAAACTTCATGAGTTTCAAAATCACAGACTGTTTAAAAGATCAAACCATTTCTATTTTGACATTTTCACAGATAGGGATAAGATTTTTAATGAAAATATATATTTAATGATTGTTTGACCTTATTTTCTTGATAAAAATAAGATGCACGGTCATCATCCAAAATCAACAGGGAATTTAGGTTTTAGAGGCTTGTCTAGGAGAAAGGGAAGAGAGCTCCTGGGTAGATGTTTCTGGGCAGCATTTGAATGGTCATGAATTTAAATTAAAGTTCAACCAGTTGGCTTTGTCCTGGTTTTCATGTTCAGCTGCCCGATTCAGGCCAAAAGTAGACGGAGAACTAAAGCAACCAGAAGAGTAAGAGGGTGTAAGGGCCCAGAAAGTTCACAGCACGCGCAAAGGAGTGATGACAGGGTGCACTATGGGGTCTCGGTTGGTAAGAAGGAACAGTGTCCTGGGAGGGATGGATAAGGGGCAATGAGAAAACAGGAGGCTCGATGTATTTTAGGTCCTACTGAAACTGAACAATCATTTCAGTCAGAGTTGCTACACAGAGTAAGTTATAAAAACAGGAGACGGTGAACAGAGCACTAGTAATGGCAGGCCCTAGTGCGGACGCCCAGAAAGGACTGGAATGCGAGGAAGACCAGAAGAAACGTAACAAAGCAGAGGGACCAAGGGCCTCTAACTCCGCGTGAATAACTGCGCCATTTCCCAAATGCACAACATTTGCCTTCAATCAGGTTTCAGTTTCTAATACGAAAAGAAACAAAAATCTAAGATATTGGGGGGTCTACAGCAGCCTTTCTAAAATGAGGATCTACCAGAGAAAATTATTTAAGTAACTATTTCCTCAATTATCCCAATGATGAAAATGGCTAGTGCCATTCTACATGAATAGGAGATGGCTCAATTTAATGCATACAATAGTATGTTAGGACATTAATTTTCTCATAAAGCCCTGGATGAGAACAGAGAAAAATGGACTTAAAATAAAATAGGTGTGATTCTTTTTTTTTACATATTTACTTCTGGATCACTTTAAATGGGCAAAGCACATCTCATATGCCCCTAACAACTACCAAGTGAGATAAGCAGCTAAGCAATTATTCTTACTTTATTGGTGAGGTAAGAGGCAGATCATCAGAAGTGACAGGACTCACTTAAGTGAAGGTTTTCAGGCTCCTGATCCAGTACACAATCTAGCATTCACTGTAGCTTCCAGTTTCAGCAGGAGTGCTGTGTTTTTCTCAAACTGGGCACTCCTTCCTTTATAACCCTGCCGCATACATACCCTGCCACTCAGAGCATACACATCTCCCTGATTCTCCACTACACCTAAACTCCTAGGATACAAGACAGAGTGTTTTTAATATCTGTATATACAGAACTTACCTCCAAAATATTAGTGGAAAGAAGGAAGCTAGGAAGATAAGAAAAACGAATAGAATAACCTGTTAGAAACTAAACCCTGGTAGAATGTAAGCACTGTATGTATTTTGGGATTTGAATTCGTTCTTCAAGTAGACTCAGAGATGAAATAAGTGGATTTTGAAAACTGCTTCATGGGGAAAAACTGAAGTCATGGTTAGGCTTGGACAAAAAACACAAAGAGGAAACAAGATAGCTATTTTTAATATCTCAAGCTCTCAAATAAAAGCAAGTGTTCCATGTTCTCCTAAAGGGCAGAAAAGAGCATGAGCAAACAAGTTGCAGTGGGACATTTTTAGTTAATATTAAGAAAGAATCTCTTAAGATAAAAAAGCTCTCTAATGAAAACATAGGGTCTCATTCAAGGGACCAAACAGTCATTGAGAACCCCCAGCATTTACAGTAAAGGAAACACCAATTTTGGAGGTGAGAGACATCATGTTATCATTGCGAATCTATAGTCTAGTCAAGTAGCAAAACAAACTGAGATTCTCTTAAAAGATGGTAATTTAGTCCGGTTCAATGCAATATGTGACTTTAAAATAAAGACAAAACCTCCTTACTGCTACTTAAACATTAATTTTTTTAAACCAGCCCCCAAACCCCTCCCCTCTGACAGCTAGTCTATTCCATATATCCATGCCTCTGGACCTACTTTTTTTTTTTGACATTTCATTTTTTATTTTTAAATTTATCTTTATTGTGGAAAGTATTACAGATGTCTGCCTTTGGACCTATTTTGTTCATCAGTTTATTTTGTTCATTAGATCCCACATATAAGTGAGATCATATGGTATTTTTCTCTGGCTGGCTTATTTCACTTAGCATAACACTCTCCAGATCCATCCATGCTGTTGCAAAGGTAAGAGTTCCTTCTTTTTATGGATAAGTAATACTCCATGGTGTGAATGTACCACTGCTTTTTATCCACTCATCTACGGGTGGGCACTTGGGCTGCTTTAATTTTGGCTTGAGCACTGTCCATTCATTCTGAACATTCTTTTATATATTTCAATACAGATATAGATATTGTGTGTTACACGTATATAAAATTTTTCTAACTTTCACTCACTTTTCCCACACGTTTCCTTTCTCCTCGCAACAGGACGAGAGACTATGGGCTGTCTAGGTCCAGTGTGTGTCCTTGTCTTCCTTCTGGGAGGCAGAGCGTATTGCCAATATGAAAGCTATCGATGGGAGGAAGACTATGACCAAGCACCAGAGGATGATTACCAACCAGAATTCCGTCTTCATCAACATGTGGACTATGGAGTGCCTTTTCATCAGCATACTTTAGGCTGTGCCAGTGAATGCTTCTGTCCACCTAACTTTCCGTCATCAATGTACTGTGATCATCGTAAACTCCAGAGGATCCCAAATATTCCGGCACACATTCAGCAAGTCTATCTTCAGTTCAATGAAATTGAGGCTGTGACTGCAGATTCATTCATCAATGCAACTCATCTTAAAGAAATCAATCTGAGCAACAACAAAATTAAATCTCAAAAAATTGATCACGGAGCGTTTGCTAAGTTGTCAAATCTACTACAACTTCACCTACAGCATAACAATTTAGAAGAATTTCCATTTCCTCTTCCCAGGTCTTTGGAAAGACTTCTTCTTGGTTACAACAAGATCTCCAGACTGCAGACAAATGCCATGGATGGACTAGTAAACTTGACCATGCTTGATCTCTGTTATAATCATCTTGGCGATTCTGTGCTACGAGAAAAAAGCCTTGCCAAAATGGAAAAGTTAATGCAGCTCAGCCTGTGCCATAACAGATTAGAATCGATGCCCCCGGGCCTGCCGCCTTCGCTCATGTACCTGTCTTTAGAAAGCAATTCCATTTCTTCTATACCAGAAAGTTACTTCAGCGGGCTTCCAAAACTGCATGTTTTAAGGATGTCTCACAACAAGCTACAAGACATTCCATATAATATTTTTAATCTTTCCAGCCTTATAGAGCTCAATGTGGGACACAATAAACTGAAGCAAGCATTCTATATTCCAAGAAACTTAGAACACCTGTACCTAGAAAGTAACGAAATTGAAAGTATGCAAAATTTCATTGTTTTTTAAAGACGAAATCTTTACAAATCTATACTTTTTACACTGTTGAAAATGGGTGCTTTAAAGTTAGCTAGGAAAATGGCAGAAATTGGTCCCCGAGAAAGGTGTGCTACAAAGTTCATAGCCTTTTCTATTAAGTTTTATCACCCTGAACATTGAGAAATAGTACTGTGGAGTATATAAAAAAATATGAGTATCTTGAGTAGTGTGGCTAGGAAAATGGCAGAAATTGGCCCCAGAGGACGGTATAAAGTTTACAGTTTTATCTATTAAATTCTGTCAACCTGAACATTGAGAAATAGTACTATAGAGTATATGAAGAAATAAGGGTATTCTGAGTAGCAGGACTATAGGAGATTTTCATTTCTTTCTTTTTGAGACTGTTTCTACTAAGAATTTATTACTTTAGTAATTTATTTATTATTTAAATTACTAAATTTCCAATGAAATCACTTATTTTGATAATATAAAATTAATTTATAGTTTTATTTTCATTTTATTATTTGATTAATGTAAAAATAATTAAACCTAATTCCACTTATAAGTATTTTAATTAATAAAACTATATCTATATAACATTTTAATAAAATCCAATATAAAATGATGAATGTAATATAGCAGGATTAATTTTTTAATTTATATTTTTCAGATATCAATGTTACAGTGATGTGTCCATCTGTTGACCCACTATTTTACCACCATTTAACATACATTCGTGTGGACCAAAATAAACTAAAAGAGCCAATAAGCTCATACATTTTCCTCTGCTTCCCTCATATACACAGTATTTATTATGGTGAACAAAGAAGCATTAATGGTCAAACAATACAACTGAAGACCCAAGTTTTAGGGAGATTTCAAGATGATGCTGATAGTGAAGATCATGATGATCATCTTGAAGGCTCAGAAGAAGAAGGAACAGAAGAAAACGCTGACCCTCACTATTATGGAAGTCAGGAATGGCAAGAAACTATATAGGTATACATTTATGACTTCACAAAACTTAGAGCTCACAATAATATACAAAGAATTATGTGTTAGTATAAGATCAAATACTTGAATCTAAGGTGTTGCTAACGTCTTCACCATTACATAGGATCAGAACTTACTCAAAATGATACATCTTTAGAAATATAAATTAGAATGACAAGTGGAAATCAAAAACTAAACTTTAAACATAAAAATGTTATCATGTTGAGAAAAAGTAAGTATGCCATTTCTATTAACAGTAATTATTCTAAGAATGATGAAAAAAGTAGCATTAGAAGCTTTGAATTACTATGAGGATTGTTTAAATGCCAACAGGTTACACTCCTGTAATAGGCAGCCATTCACTTAAGGAACAGATTATTATCTTTGACCTGATCTCCAGAAAAGCTTTCACACTTGTAGTTGAGATTTCATCACCATAACTGAATCCATCCCCTGGCCCTACCACTTAGTGCTTAAGATGATACTTTGACTTTCAAAAGATGCCATCCTCCTAAGGACCCCAGGCATGGAGAATCATGAAATCAATGAATCCTGTTTTTCCCTCAGAGCATCAAAGCAACAAAATTTTAAACACTGTTTCGATAACTAAAAACCACCAAAATTATCTCATCACAATCTATATTTAGCAAATTTTAGCAATTGTCCAAAACAGTCTCAACTGTGTTCCATTTTAACTGGAATAAATGTTTTTATAGCAAATTCACTAGAGAAAGGTTTCTTTGCTTTAGTTACATGAAGATTTGCTAATAAATAACTGCTTACTTCACAAGGTTAAGTTAATGTTAGCACAAGAAAGTATATCAACATTATTAAACACTTCTATTTTTCTAGCATTATTAATTAGAAACATATATGCATATCAGCCGATGTTTATTTACATAGTGTTAAAGTTGAATAAAGTTCCTTAAAATTTGGACAGATTTGACAGTCTCTTTAAAACCTTAAAATCACATATTATTTAATCTATCATTTTAAAGTATTTTAAGTATACCTTATAATAAAGATGATCTACCTGCTGTGATGAACGTTTTTGATTTATCAGGCTAACATTTCACAGAATTCCTCAGAGAAGGAATAAACATATATCTGGGGCTGTCTATGTAGAAAACCCAAAGAACAAACAACAACAATTTGGACAATACGCAAAGACCAGACATGTAAAACTATATTTTAGAAGCCGTTTTCAAGTGGCAATTCTTTTTTCTGGAAATGACAGTTTAAGTGAAGCCTCTAACGCTCTTTATATCTTTAAGTTATTAGCATTTAGCAGAAACAGTACCGACCTGTCCCCAAGGTAAGCACAACAATCCAAAATGAACAAAGACAACAGTCCATTCTTTCCTTTAATAATGTTCATGAAATCATTTGGTGTGTAGGGCTTAGCAATGAGAGGTCAAGAAATGGAGTACCTATGTGGGACTATGACATCATAAGGTACAGATGTGAGGGTAAAGGTCAGAGCAAAATGCTAGTGATGTGGGTAAAGCCTACTTTCAACAGAGGTAAAAAAATTTAAGGACCACCTACCCCTTTACTGAAATTTTTAAAAACAGGGTTATAAATTTTAAAATTTATTATGAGTTAATACGTGGAAAATACTGTAGGTGTTTTAGGACATAAGAAATATTAGAGTATTTCTTACCTAGAATAATTTCAAAGTTACTACAGAGGAGCCATCACAGAAATGTAAATCAAAACCACAATGGGATAGCCTTTCACACTCACAGGAAGGCTATCATCAAAAAGACAAATACTAAGCATTAGCAAGGAGGTGGGAAAAGAGGAACCTTCCTGCACCACTGGTAGGGATATCAAATGGTGAAGCTGCTTGAGAAAGCAGTCTGGCAGATCCTCAAAAATTTTGAGTCACCATGACAGAGCAATTTCACTCCTAGGTACATACCCAAGAGAAATGAACACATATGTTCACACAAAAACATGTACAAAAATGTTCATAGCAGTATTATCCATTAACAGACAGAAAGCACACAAATGTCCATCAGCTGGTAAATCTGAGCGCAATAGGGAAACAAGAGGAATAGAGAGCTGAACAAACTGCAGCAACTGACAGCAGATACAGGTCACCTCCCTAGAAATAACATGGAGGCCTCAGTTGTATTTCAGCTCCAGGCCAGAAAAGCAGCAGAGCCAGGTGGGCGACACCAGGACCAACTACAATGACTGATGCCCCTGTCCTGACATCGACCAGGGAGTGGAGACCACGACCCTGGAGGAGCACACCTAGGGAACTGATGAATACTCTGTTGAAGCCTTCCTGAGACCTCCCCTAAGATTCCTGCCTGCAAGAGAGAGATAAAGCCTCAAGACAAAGGGCCCAGCTCGAGATCTCCCTCTGGGGAGCAGCCCCCCTTCCCTTTCCCTCCCTACCCCCTCTTCTTCCCCATGGCCACGCGTCTCCTAAGCTCTAAGGGACCCCAAGCAATGGGCAGGCTGGTCCCCCGACCCTGTTCCCAGGGCCCCCTTCCCTCCGACTTCCCAGAGAGCTGGGGCAGCCAGTCCAGGCTCTCCTGTCGCTTCTCCTACGCTGAGCCCTTGCTGTTTACGCCCTCAGCTTGAATAAACGTTCCCTCAGTCACCTGGACTCGTGCTGTGAAATTTTTCCTCACGAAGTCAAGAACCCGCACACTACCGGCTGCTGGGCAGACCCGCCAAGGGCCAGGCCCCCTTTCCGGTAACAAATTGATGAGCAAAATGTGGTATATCCACACAATGAATTATTATTCAGCCAAAAGAAGGAATGAAGTAATAATACAAACTGCAATAGAGACAAACCATGAAAATACTATGCTGGTTGTTTTTGAAGGCTGTTCCTGACTTTTCAGAAAGGTGGAAACCATTCTTTCTGGACAGTCGAAACTGTGACAATAGTAGTTTGAGTCATGGTAAATAATACTTCTGCATATATAACTTTCAACAATTAAAACAATCAAGTAACAGGAGAGTCCATTAGTCAGACAATGAAGAATTGAAATGGTATGAAATATGCTCAGTTTTAATTTAGTAAGAAATCTGTATTTTAAGAAAAAATAAAATTAAAGCCTATTATAAAAAATATATGCTATGTAGTGAAGTCAGTCAGAGAAGACCACCTATTGTATCATTCCTTTTACATGAAATGTCCAGAACAGGCAAATCTATAGAGACAGAGGGAGATTACTGGCTGCCTGGGGCTAGGAGGAAGGGGAACAGAGGGAGAGTGGGGAGTGACTGATAATGGGTAGGTTTCTTTTGGGGTGATAAAAATATTCTAAAATTGAATGTGATGATAGTTGTACAAGTCTGAAAATACTAAAGACTATTTATAACAGGAAAGAAAAGGATAAAAATTCATCTATTTTCATTACACTTCTAAGTATTAGTTACATTGGCTACAAGGCTGAACTGTGTGACCACTAACAAGTGAACTCAATCACACCATGAACCCAATGAACCCAAGCATAACTGATAAAACAAAAGCACAACATACATTTGCTTATAGAAAGGAAACAAAAATAAAGCGTATTTCATGAATTTGCTCACAATAATACTAGTTGAGAATGTTTAGCTTATTTAAATATTGCCTGAAACACGATAAACACTTTGCCTTTATTCCTTAAGCTGGAGCCACCAAAGTAAAACAGAGACGTATGCATATCACATAGCACACTTAACCAACTCCATGGGAACAAAACAGAAGAAATAAACCTTGTCTCTTCTGCATATTTTTACTATTGCAGAGAATTCATAAGATCCCTAGAACTAAAACCCTCGTTTCCTGATTCCAAATCTGTTTCTTCTAAATCTTAGAAATAAAGTATAACAGCAGCTGGAAACAAAATTAAATCACAGGAGCTAAAAATCCAAAGTTTCTTTCATGTTCTAATTGCCTAATAAATACAATTATGCCTACCAAAATAATATCACAGAATCATGAACATTTCTGTCATTACAACCTAAGTATGTTGCAAATTCACTATATGGAGATTTCTATACTAAGAAAAATTAAACTCACAAATATGATATATTTTTAACATGAACCCTCCCTTATATTGAGTCATAATTCCCTCCCTTTAAATGTCACTCTTTACTTTGAGAAGTGCTGGGTTCTCACCTGTATTTCAGTTGACCAAATGACTGGGCTTCAGGCATAAGCACGAGATCTAAGATGGAGATTCAAACCATAGATTTTCCATAAAATCTTAGAATACTGTATTTAAAGGGTCTATAAATATCTGGCAATTCAGTGATTCTCAACAGGGGTGACTATACCCTCCAGGGGACATTGGGCAATGCCTTGAGACAATTCTGGTTCTCATGCTGGGGGAAGAGTGGATGGAAGAGTGCTACTGGTATCCAGTGAACAGACGGCAGTGATGCTGCTAAATGTCCTATAGAGCACATGACAGGCCCTACCAAAACAATTATCTGGTCCAAAATGTCAACAGTGCTGAGGGTGAGAAATTGTAGGAACTAGATTCTAGTCTAAACAAATAAAGAAAATAAAACACAAAGAAGTTAACCTAACGAAGATCAAGGGAAGGTTGATGACAGAACAAAATGCTTACGTGTTCTGACCCCTAAATCACATGGCTTCCAATAAAGTGAGGAAGGAGAAAACAGGGAAGACTCGGCTTCTGGTTTTTGAAACACAATCCACTGTTAGTTGTATGTTCTCTGTCAGTAGAACTGAGCCTCCTCCCCCTCCAAAAAAAAAACTCCTAGAAAACCCTTGTTTCCAAAACTCAATTCTATTCAAAACATTTTGGGTTGTCCACTGCTCAGAAACAACTAGGAGGTAGAACAAACTGCCCAATGGCACCCCTTCAACAGTATATACCCCACAAAGATGCCGAAGATAATGCGACAGGGTTACCAGGGAGACCACCACAGAGAAAACTCACTCAGTTTCGGATAAATGCCTGCTCTTGAGTCTTAGACAACTTTCATCTTTTATTACGGTGCAGTGAAAGTGAAATAGCTTCATACTGGGATATAATAGCTCTTTGTAAAATAGAAAACAATCTAAATTCCAACATATTTTATTCTTGGACCTGTACAGTAAAGAAGTTTACCCCAAAGAGAGGGCTGGGTTTTGCTGTTAGCTTCCAGGAAGTAATCAACATCTCTGTTTAGAGTTGGGGCCATCACGCCAGACCTTTAGGATGATGGAGCTAGTCATACCCGATATTGGGCTGGCAATGGTAGAGACAGAAAGACCATGTGATTTAGGATGGGCACTTCGGGTCATGTAGTATCAGTCAACCTGGATGCTGAGTTCAACCACATGGACACTCAGTCGATCATGTCAATGTAATAAAACTCCAATAAAAACTCTGAACAGCAAGGCTTGGTAGCACTCCTCTGGTTGGCAAAGTGTGCTGTCTCGCATCAATGCCCGGAATGCGTCCTGAGACAATGGGAGCTCTGCACCTTGGAACCCTCCCAGACTCTGCCCTATGTTTCTCTTCTTGGCTGATATTTATGTATATCCTTCCCTAATAAACCACAACTATAATGGTTTTATGTGAGTTCCATGAATCCTTCTAGCAAATTATCAAATATGACAGTGGTTTTGGGAACCCTCCCAAACTTGTAGCTGGAATAAGTGAGGATGGTCTTGGGGACTATGCCCTCAAACTTTGGCTAACTCTGGGCCAAGAAGATGGGTTTATTTACCAGTCCCAATCTGAGTATCTCTAGAATCTTGCCGTGTGTAGACATTTCCCCTTCAATGTGGCTGTGACCTCTGACTTGCTTCTAACCATGGCAAAGGTGATGGCATATACATGACTATGTGTGCCTGATTGCTAAAAAGACTGTAACGTCCATCTTGCTGGAAGACTACCTCTCTTTCTAGCTGTAAAGAAGCATCCTGCCATTTTAGGAGCTGCCTGATGGAAGCCATGTTGCAAGAAACTAAGGGTGGCCCTCAGCCCACGTTCAGCAAGAAACTGAAGCTCTTAGTCCCATATTCTGCACAAAGCTGTGGCCAACAATCACATGGGCTCACACGTAAATCCTTTACTGTACTCAACTCTTGAAGTGAGGGTGGAGCCCCAACAAACACCTTAATTGCAGCTTTCAGGTAAGATCCTGAAGCAAAGAACCAAGCAAAGCCATGCCTGGGACTCCTGGCCCACAGAAACTGTAACTAATAAATGTATGTTATTTCAAGCCACTAAAATTGTAATACATAACCAATACAATAAACAAGTAGTGGTATTCTTCAGAAATGGAACATTAGTGGGATTTTTTTTAATGAAAATAGGATCATATCACTCACTGGCTAAAAAAGAAAAAAAAAAACAAAGACCCTCACTCACTGGCTATAGAATAAAGCCCAAACCTTAGCAAGGTATAAAAAGGTATAAAACACTTTCCTTAACCTGACCTCTAGTCTCTCATCTGATCTCTTAATCTGTGCCATCCCCTCACCACTTCTCTCCCTCCCTCCAAGCTCCAGCCATATACAACTAATAAATTTTCTCAGTTATTTACTTTCCCCCACCTATGTAATGCTCCCCTTCCTAGAATATCTCACCTTCTGCTACCATCCCCACTTGTCACGCATTTTCTCTACGTAAGTCAACGTGATGCAGCCTCCACAGCCTCACCCTCTCTCAGGCTATGCTAGAACCCTGCACATTTCTGGGTAGCAGGTTCCGCTGTGCATTCTATGCTTTATTTGCTGCCTTTCCTACTGATTTACAGACTATAAGTTGCTTGAGAGGAGAAACTGAGTTTTTCTTGTCTCTGCTTATTTTGTCTGTAGTTCTGGCAAAGAACTAGTGTTCCATAAAATATTACTAAATGAATAAATGCCAATAAAACTATATTCCTGGTCATAACTTTTCAAGGAAAGATATTATAACCCACTAAGTAATTTTTTGTAGTATGAAGTATCAAACTGTGTACACCATTAATAAAACTACCAATCTTTAAGATTCCCTAAATCTAACATTTAATATCCATCCAGTTCACTTCTCTACATTCTGTTAAACCTGCCACGCAACATGAAAACAAAGCATTATCTTCTGTTTCATTACTAAATATTTTCAAAGACTTTAAAATTTTTATTGTACTCTAAAGCCATAAATTTGACAATTTTTATCAACCAAAACCAGAAAATATCACAACTAAATTTAAAATAATTCAAATTCAAATAAAAACATGAGTACCAAGTTTTAGTTTACCCAAGCTTTAATTTAAAAGGACCTTAGACCAGTTTTGAATAGAAAAATAGAACAAATTAGGATTCTTTCATTTTCCATTTTAAAGTATTTATCCACATCCCTGTTTACTGAATTTTTAGCCTAGAGGAGAAAATATTACCTTGATTGCTAAAAGCACCAATGAGTGATAAAAATAAAAGTGAACCTCTCAAGATTGACATATAGTTATCTAAAATACCACTTAAACCTCTAAACTTAAATATTACTTATACAGTTTACTTCATTTTACAAACAAAAATATCTTTGATTATCAAACCTCAAATTATAAGTCAAATCTACTTTTTAAAAGCTGACTCTGACACTTGGGTTATTTTATATGTAACTAAAATAAAGGGGATGTGACCCCCACATGACTAAACTATAAAATAATTTGCGCTAAAACTGATTTTTACATTGGGAATTTCTTGGTTATAAACTAACTATGGTCTAGAACAATATTTTTACTCCTCATAAAATTAAGATCATACACTATGCTTTAGTTTGCTATTTTACTCATTCAAAAAATGTTTTATTTCCTGTGAAAACATTAAAATGAAAAACATGATTTTATGTCATCTTCATGAACTAATAATATTCACAAAAACATTGGTGTTCATTTTACGAGGTAAAAATAACACAAACTCACAATATTTAGTACAAGCAGATGGAGTACAATAGTTACAAATATTTTAAGCACAGTACTCTAGTACAACACACTACATTTCCGCCTAGAGAAAGACTGTTGGCAAAGATCTCTACCACATGGAAACTGCTTTTAAAGCTGCTGGGCCCTGAAATTGTGCTCAGCAGTCTAAAATCAATCCACAGCTCTCCTCATTCACCCTCCCACTTGGGCAGACATGAACATCTATTGAGGAAAGCCACAAAAAGACTTCAAAAGAGCTACAATGGTAGGCTTTCCCCCCAAACCCCCACATTATTTTAAATATCGTATGTTAAGATGTGACTCATCTAACAGTCTTAATAAATGTAAAGCTATCTCTAACTTTTTTAATTTAACGTTTAGGTTACCTTAAACGATTACTTTAAACAAACACTTTAGTGTATATCATCGCATAACTTTAATATCCATTGCAGGCAAGAACACAGCGCTGCAAACGTCACAAACCATGTTATTCTGAATTTTTAACCACTGAATTTTTTTGAATTGGCATTTACAATGCAGCACCAGCAGCTCTGAGTAATTCTGTTTGAAATTACTTAAGAAAAATTCTGAAATGTGCACTACCAGGTAAAGTCCATCAGTAAGCCTAAAATCTTGCCCATTACATTCCTCCAAACCTATAGTAAAGTTCTGTATTTTTCTAGTCTACAATACTATTTTTTTATTTTTTATAGTTTAAATTTTAAAAGCAATTCTATTAACTAAAAAGAGTGATACCTATGAAAATAAAAAAAACTAAAAATTAAAATTCTGGCTTTTCCTTTATTTTGTGCCACCTAAAAGTAAGTGTTAATGACTACTTTTCATAATGTTAAATTTAAAGTTTAAACTTTAAAACTTTTCTTGGAACTTGTTTTTCTTCATACCACTACAAATCAAGAGTTCTTATAAAGTAGCAAAGCTGAAATATGATATTTTAAACTCACATGAGACAGGATCTTGGGTCTTCATGTTAACTATTTATACTTCAGGTATTCTAAGATTTCAAGTCCATAAAAGTACCTTTGTTCAAGGCACTTAATTATTAAGAAACTGAAATAATCAACATTGCTTGGATATTTTTATAGAAAAGAAGTAAAACCATTTTCTGAAACTGTTTTTCAGAATATCACTGATATGTAAAAACTTTTAGCATCTAATTAAAGATCACTAAGGGTTAAATACTTGTTCTCTGGCCCCTACTGCATACACTCTGCCAAAAAGTCCTCTAAGCTTTTAAATATTGCTTCGATGGTCGGCATTTTTACTTTCAGGGGAAAAGGAGTATTGTCTTACAGTCAGCAGGCCACTAGCTTATTAACTTCCAGTCACCTTAATTTTCGTTAAAATGAAGATTCTGCAATCTACACTTTTCCTGTTACTGTTTGTGCCTCTGATAAAGCCAGCACCACCAACTCAGCTGAACTCACGCATCATCTATGATTATGGGAAAGATAATTTTGAAGAAATCTTATTTACCCGAGATTCTGAGGATCGATACCTGGATGGAAAAAATATTAAGGTACCTTGTTTCTACTCTAACTTTAACTTCTAAAATAGTCTAGCCCATTTAACTGCATGCTTTTGTTTTTTCTGAATGTGTCTGGTAAGGTAAGAGGGGGGAAAAAGCACTTTAAGGGATTCAAAATAAGTGTCCCTCAGATTATATTTTTAAAGTATGCATGCCTCTTATATTAATAAATAATACCTATCGTAACCAAACAGTATCTATAGTAACCAACACATAAAATTTAAGGAAAATTAAATTTTAAGATAATCCCTGAGCAGTTGAGATTTATATGTTAAGTAGTGTTAAACAATGCCCTATATTTGGATATTATATCTCAAAAAAAAATGGGAGCTGTTTATTAGGAGAAATAAAGATAGATTACCAACTTGTTTATTATTTTAGGAAGAAGTAGTTCAAGAAAATAGAAGGGTAATGTTATTTTGGTAAATATAATATTTCACAAAGTTTATATAAGTTAACTACATAGAGTACCAAAAATGAAAAACTACTTAATATGGGGCTTTTTTTAAAAATCCGTTTCAACAATGTAGACTCAGTTTGTGCCAAGTAACTGTAACTGTCAGTGAGTTAGTACTCTGCCACATCCTTCACACCCCACTTACATGGGCTGAGCTGTCACTTGTGGTCTTCCTGTCACACAGCTGGGTAGGGAAAAAGTTAATACATCACATACAGGCCTTTCCCCTGCCTACAGCATCACACACACACACGCGCACACACACAGTTTATACATCACATACGGGCCTTTCGCCTGCCTACAGCATCACACACACACACGCACACGCACACGCACACACACCAAGTTAATACATCACATACGGGCCTTTCGCCTGCCTACAGCATCACACACACACACACACACACACAAAGTTAATACATCACATACAGGCCTTTCGCCTGCCTACAGCATCTCACAAACAAAGTTAATACATCACATACAGGCCTTTCGCCTGCCTACCGCATCACACACTCACACACACGCACACACACGCACAGGCGCGGAGAAGCGCAGTCAAGTGCACAGCAATGGTGATGGCTTCAAGCTCTTCTCCAGGCTAAGATGGCAGAGATTTTAAATGTGACCAGGTACAGCTGCCTCCCTCTCTCACAGAGTGAATGCCAGCACCACGTCCCTTCCCAGGAAGTCGGGCAGCACGTTGGCATCATCTCTGCCCAGCCATGAGGCAGACGAGATGGGCGCGAGGGCCCAGCTGCAGGTTTCTGAACGGCCGCCCCGAGAGGGCGGCGCGGGCGCGGGGGGCTAGAGCTCGGTTGGCTCAGGGAACCCCCGAAAGCCCCGCTCCAGGAAGCAGGCGCGGGGAGGCCGGTCAGAGGCGCGGTCAGGAGGGAGCCGAGCCAGGCGCGCGGCCCTTCAGTGTCGGGCGGGATGTACAGGGGGCGCTCAAGGCCGCGACTCCCCGGCCGGCGCAGGGGGACGCGAGGCTGGGAGGAGGGTCGGGCCCGGCAGGGCCGCTCCCA